ATGAATCACATAAGAGAGAATACAAGTTGAATTCTTACAGAAAAATCGATATAAACGCAAGGTCATAAGAAGTGGCCAAGGGGCTAATCAATAACATTAGAAGTTTAAACGCTATGGTCAGCAAAAACGGGAAAAAAACGTCTGAGGTAACAATTTGAGAGGAGAAATGTGTAAACAGGTAGCCAATTTTACCAAGGCAGATTTAGGTTCACTACATGCTCCAGCTGTTTACATAGGTCGGGTTTGAACCGCCGTATGTAGGCTGCCTCTAGGTAGCGTAAGGTGCGAGTTGTTCGTGCTCGAACAAGTACTCGGAAGACGTTTTGGGGTCAACAGAATCGCCCGAGTCTAGCAGATGTTCAGTAATTGATGACCGGGGGATTCTGTTTTCTTGTTTCATTAATCAGCTAGGTAAATGTTCCTTAGCTGGGAAACGTTGCTTTAAGAAACAGTATTCTACTTCACCAACCATGATAGTGATGTCGATCAATGCACCGATTCTTTTTGAGATTGGGAGGAATTAAAGGGATAAATAGTTGGAGTTATTCTCGTATGAATATTTTGTAGACCTCCTAAGGCATGCTCGGGTGTTTATCACACGAAGCTTAAAGTTCTGAAACGCAATGATCGCAGCAGGAAAACGTCAAAGCACGAGACTGGGTTGGTAATAGACAAACCATAGACTGCTCAAACTTAGTCAAATAAATGTATACATGTTAACTTAATGAAACCCGGTTGATTCATTTCAATGTATGGATTTAGGATGGTCAAGTGTTTATTAAATGCTTCAAATATACTGAACACTCAAAAGACTAAAAACCGACTTAATACAACGACTATGAATATAAGTGATTCATGCAGACAAAAAACAGTTTAGAGAGCAGTAGTAGATATGGATGTACCTTGCTCTCTAATTATGTCTCTGATGATGAATCCGCGACGGATCTCGAAACTTCAGGCGAAGAAAATAATTGTCCCAACGATCGAGTCGTCTTCTTCACAAAACAGTTTGATGAATACATGCATCTATCTTCAGCACACAAGAGCATTTTTGTACTGCGATCCCTGTGGAGCACCCCGTTGCTGCTTCTTCATCCTTTAAAATGTAAAGCACTCGGTTCTAATTCCAGGTTAGTGACTTAATTTTGCCGTCGAACACACCCTTTATGACCGGTTTGCTTCATTACATAACCTTTTTCATGAAGTTGTTATCAGGCCGGTTAGAATGTGGTTGCATACAGCGCAATTTTGCTAACTTACTTTGACTAGTAACATGCAACTTTTAGCTATCCTTGGAAGTGTCGCACCGAAGCTTCAATATTACTTATGAGATGCCCTGTGAAACAGCAAATAGACCCACAACAAAGGATCTTCCTGTTCAACAGGGAAGTGATATCTATAGATAAGAATATTACAACGAGAAGCCTGCAGAAAATAACGGTCATCGGTCGCCAGCAGATCAATGTGCAACAATCAACATGTTGCCCTGTAACCTTGGTTACGGAGCCAATGATTCTGAAATTCAAGTAAGGAAGCCGTTCTGATTTTTAGAAAATATTAATACCTGTCAATACTTATCATAAGTCAAGTGATGTAATCTCGGAAAAGTAATCGCTTTACGTATTAAAGCCCTCAGACCAAACAATTGTAAATGCAACCGACAAATTCCAAAGTCCATCACAAAATATTATATGCATGGGGTTAAAATTTGATCTAGGGTGAGAATATTCTTTCGCATTTCTCTCAGCATGTAATTTCTTGAAAATTAGCTTAATAAAAAAATTTATTTTGAAAAAGGCATGATAAAAAACTATTCATAAAATTAGACTCTGGTAACTACTTTTGGACGTCGTTTACGGTCATAACCTTTCGCATTAAAACAATCGTTCTCTGCATCCGACTTGCGCGGTGTTTACTCCTCTTTCTTAACTTGAAGTATTCACTTAAATACGTTATCGGTTAGACCATTTATAACATCAGCAATTGGAAGGTGTCTCCAGTTCTCCTCCCGAATTTGTTTCTCTCACTGTACGACCTAACACCGGCATCCATAAAAAACAAGAAATATGCACTGAATGCTGGGCTTTCAGCTCATAATCGCACTTCTTTTG